TTCTCATTGTAATCCCACCACGCCCCAAAGAAATCAAGCCTGACTCACAGACCACATCAGTCCTGGTTGGCCAGGAAGGTTGGCCACCTCTCCAGGTTCTGCCTCCCAGCATCCTCAGGGCACATGTGTTGGGGTGTCTCTCTGGAAGGCACAGAGGGAGGAAGAGGCCCTTACCCACCCCCACCCCCACTGTTCCCTGGCTCCAGCCACCTCCCTCTTCCTCTCCTGAGCTTTTTGTGCCTAAGCTGTAGCCAAGTGGGGTCAGGGAAAGCAGCTGAATTATGTTCAGGGACAAGGAGGACATTTTTGAAGCCATTCCAGGGGCCATAGAACTGGGAGTGTCTGCAACTGATTCAACAGATGGGGAGGCAGAAAAGGTCATGGGAAGTGAACGAGAGTCAGGGTCACAATTCCAAGTCCACCACATGGTAGCTGGAACTTGGGGTGAATTACTCAAGCTTCTGTAGAGCAACAGTTGCCTCGGCTCTAAAATAAGAATAATAATGTCTTGCTTGGAGGGTTACTGGAAAGCATCTGGTCCAACACCTGAAACAGAATGGGTGCTTGGAAAGTATGGATTCTAGCAGGAGGCTTTTCCTGCACAATTCATAACAATACAGCTTCTATTTGTGCTAGACTTGATTCCCCAGCTAGTCTTACCGGCAGCTTAAGGTCAGTGACTGTGTGTTAAACAGTTGTCCCTCGGTATCTGTGGAGGATTGGTTCCAGGACCCCTGAGGATATCAAAATCCATGGATGCTCAATACCCTGATGCAAGATGGTGTAATACCGTCGGCCCTCCATGTCCACGGGTTCAATTGAAACTCATGGATATAGAGGGCTGACTGTACATCCTTTCTTTCCCATGCATCTCACACTTAATGTGGGTCAATACATATTACTTGGCTGACTAATATACCTAGATACCAAGATCCCCAGAGGGAACACATAGTGACAAACTAACAGAGTCTTTGGCATCCAAGGTACACATTATCTTCCTTTAATAAGTAAAATACAGGGGCATCTG